ACGTCATGCACCTGTACATTTGCATGTACTTTTGTCATGTACCATAGGTCGGTAGTGCATGTAGCAGGGTACATAGACCCAGTGCAAATATGCTGAATAGATACTCACAATCTGAACATTGGACAATTTACTGGTACATTGAATTGTTGACAGGTTACATACACCTACCCTGGAACATGATGGATTGGTACAATATCTCTCAAAAGTGAAAGTTCTGGTGCTCACACGCAATAGGCCTAGATTACATACAATGCATGTCGGGCAGGAAATTGAAATTTTATACATATATGGAATGCACAAAAGTGAAGTATACCTCCTTTGATACGAGGAGCTAAATTCACAATGATATGTAAAAATGCATGTAGAATAAGCTGTGAAATGGCTTGGCAGACTGAAGATTGGGTTGATATTTACAGGAACTGATCAGTAGGAAGTACATTGTTTTTAATTTGATGCAGTAGTGAGTCATACCGTGCGGTACACCCATGATGAGATTACTCTATGGTATGCTGACTGGTTATTCACCATAGGCCTACTGTGCACAGTGTGTACAATGGAATGTGACATGTTCATGTACAGTATTTATGTGAACCTAAAACATATGTCCCACATAATATCACTCAGCAAAAGGACTTATTGGTTGGAATCGTTGCACATCTAAATGGAATAGTAAGAACCTGCTCTTGTGCTTCTAATGCTCCTTAATTCTAGAAGCACCTGTGCACATTATGTACATGTACCTGCTCTACATTTACTAGTACCTACTTTGTAGTTGAGGGGGACATTGAAATTAAAAGTGTGTGATCTACAGGCACCATGACAGGTATTCTTGTACAGTTTTGAGCGCTGGGTCATTCCATGAGGTTGGGGTGCAATTTGTTATGGTGTCCTAGTTAAATGGGTAACTTGTACCAGCTGTCATGACCTTTATAGATAGGTCATTTACTCTGTAGAAATAACACATACCTCTATATTCAGCCTTGCAAGATGTGTAAAAATGTTAATTTGGAATCCACATGCAGGGAAACACATGTAGCTGTTAATTTTTATGGAACCCATACATACAATTGGCACCGTCACAAATTGTGCCCCAACCTCATGGAATGACCCTGCTAGGAAAAGCAACACCTCTCTGAGCTTAATCTATTTTGAAAAACACAAATTTGGCACATTAGAGTGTAATATGTCACTTTCTACATGTTCTATGAATTTCTTTTCTTTTGTATGTGACCACACCTACTCACCCAAGAGATTTCCATACGGTGTGTCTGCAAACCCTCCACCTTATTCTGTGAATTAGTTGTTTTCCTGCAAAATTGATATTGGAGTGGTTGACATGAATTCATCTGCCATTGGATGCGCATCATGTGTAACAAACTGGAAGGGTGCTGTACCTGACAGGTGTATTCCTTGCAGCTTTGCACCTATTTCAAGTTGTAGTTTTTATGTTGGGCTGCGAGGGCTTGATTGTGAGCTGCAAACAAGAGAGTGGAGGGGATGAGATATCTTTACCCAGCAACTGCCATGACTTCCTTCCTCCTGAAGCCAACATGAGCCCAACTAAGGTTATAGTTTGACCCCATTTTATAGGGTCATACTGCATGTATTGGTGCTGTTGAAATTTTGTAAGATTGCCAAGCGCTGCAAACACAGCAACTTGACATGTTGTTTCCTGCTCAGCAAAAACAAGGTTACCAGCCTGAATTTCTGCAGCAAGCGCTGATTAATTGCCTTCCCAGTCTGTACAGTATATTTGAGCAGGAAGATTTCTTTTAATGAATAATTCCACCTGTCACAACACACTAGATGTACATGTACATGTACATTGTTCTTTTGCATGTTCCTACATTGTAGGCCTATGGGCCTTGAGCTGGACCAAGAGAGGGCGCTATATTCTTAGTGTCGGAGACTCCTTTGGTCAGAAATGAACTTTGCTGGTTCACGAATGACTAGGACATGCACGTTTCATGGCCACATCGCTACCAACAAATTGAACACTTCTGACCAACATGGCTCTTTTCAACCCATGAGGGGGTGCTTCTGCTCGAGGTGGATACTCACTTCAGTATACTGTACTGTATACATGTACATGTACATTGTGCTCTTGAACTGTACATGTATGTATGTGTTGTTTGGTATGTGGTAGTAGAGTCAGAGATACAATGGGCATTTTGATTGAGATGAAGGGGTGGGTCCAATCACAATGAACAAACCATGCTGTCTTACTGGAAAACCCCCACCTGCCCCTAATGAGCTGTGCACCTGTGTTGATGTACATATACACGTGTGGCACTGCAAATGTTTGGCAAATGTATTACTATGCAAATCTCTTGTACTTCCAACAAATTTCACCATCTGTTGTGTCTCTCAGTTTATATTAAAAGTGCACTTCCTTGAATGTCCCGACTGGTTATGCTTCATATGCAGTGTACAAGCAAGTACCGGTGCACTGTACATGTCCTACGTACATGTACTGCACCACAGTACTGCATATCTGCCATCAATTGCACATGTACGTCACATGTATGGTTAGCACAATATTATACTACAGTGTCATTGAAATGGAAAAGTAGTTGAAAATAATCAGCTACATGTATTTAAAAAAAAAATAGTCACGAAGAAAATGAAATACGTGTTGGTGGGCTCATTCTTCATATAATGTCAAAACAGGTGATGCAGTAAAATTGTTCAGAGTCTGGAAAGTCAGGAATAAGAACTTCTTTCAGTTTTTTCAGACTGTTACTTCCAGACTGGATTGATAAATGTACCCAGTAAGGTATTCATTATCCTCACTGTACCGGTATGCCTATACATGTTCATGTGATATGCCCAGTTCCAGCTGTCTTTCTCATTCACTAGCTTAACTTTCCCAGTCCTTGTTGGATTTGAGCCAGCAGGTCCACAGGGTGCAATTAAAGGGCTGTCCAGCTCCAGTCCCAGGAGGTTCAGGTTGCAAGTTTGGATTATTTAGCAAGAAAAACACTTACCAATAGTAGTCCTGCCTCAAGGGCTGGGGATGGAGACTTGTAAAGGGATACGAGCTGACCAGAAATTCCCAGGATTTTTTTCTTCCACATTTCTTTTCTGTACTTTTCTTTGCATGCCAGTTGTGAAGGCCAGTTCTCACTGGTCGCTACATGTGCATCTTTAGCTTTTTGCAATTTTGAAAAAAAAGGATTGCTTCTCTTTTTTTTCTTCCTTCTTCTTCCTCAAAAAGCTGTATAAAATCAACTGTGGCTTCCCGCAACATCACACGGATGAAGCGCCGATGACAAAACCTCCTTACAATATTTGCGTACTCCAAAATCCTATTTGCATACTGTGCATTGGCTACTGTGTGAGTGTGCGTGTGGACGCACATTATCTGCCCTGTATATACAGTATGTAGGGCATCATGCTCAAAGAGGTGGCAATTTCCAAGCACGTGGTGCTGAGAGTAGATCGCATCGTATGGAACGCCAAAAGGGACAAATTATGTATAAAATCTCCTATCTGTGCTCTTTCTGCGATGAAGGAATGCCCTTTTCTTAAGAAAAAAACGAAAATGTGAAAAAGCCCTTTGCTCTGTCCTAAAGACAGACAAACCCTCTAGTTATTATAATTGTTATTAACATTGTAAATAATATTCATGAGCTCTGGGCACAGTACATGTAGCTCTTAACCACTTCGTGCCGGGGCATTTTTCAACGTTGATGATGCTGGGCCGGCATGACTATCATTTTTTCCGTTTTCAAAATTCTTTCAAAAATTCATCATTCCATTTAACGGTCGTTTATAGCCACACTACTTTAGACACTACTCTAAGTTGACAAGAGACCTTCATTGACGCCCGAGTATTTCAGCCACAGGCCTGCAGCCTTGTAAACAGAGCCCAGATTGTGCGGTGTTATGCAACTGTCTTTTGTTCTAGAAGCTGGCTCAGTGCACTGCTGACCTCTTTTCAAGAGGGGCCAGATTAGCGTGCAGCGGTGCTGTGTGGCTCATTGCTGCAGTGGTGGAGCGCTTTTCTCCCCGGTGGTAATCCGCTTGCTCTCAATGCCCCAAACCCTGGTATACGGTTTCAAAATAACGCTGGATTATCACTACTTTTGAGAGTGAAAAATGACGATAATTCCCAGCAGCCTGGTCTTTTGTTTGGAGTATGGACTTTTGTTACAGGGCCCTGTTTCCTTTGTCCGAGTTCGGAGACCCCAGCCACGCATATAAACCATACATGTACGTCTCCAATTTCGGAGTCCCTGACAGGAAGTGGTTAAGCACGCTGTGCATTTAGCAGGGCACCTTTCCACACAAGGGAAAATGCGTACATAAAAAAACTGTAAAATAGACTTGTGTCTGGGTACTAAACCTCATTGCACGTATGGCATAGCGGAGCTTTGGGGGAAGCTCGAAGACTGCTTCACACGTGGCTGTGATTTCAACGTTAGTGAATTTTGCTTGGTACTTGTGTGTGTGCTTTTTTCATATACGTATACAAAATCGCCGAGTGATTAATAGCCATTGCTCGAGCTTTTATGAATGATGCGTCAGAGTCCTGTGCACTCTCTGAATACATGAAATACATGTAGTTGGGGGTGATAATCGGCTGGTCTATGATAATCGTCATTTCTAACATGTTTCTAAAGCATACACAACCAATTCACCTCCCCCCACATACAGTTTGTACGCTCATGAAAATGGTGACAAATTTGGATGACCCCTAAAATAAGTGTAGCAAAACCAGGCTGAAAAGTTGGCACAGAGAATTCTTAGCATTCTATTGAAGCATTCACAGCTCCACCATAGCCACTGAATGTGACTGATCTTCAGTAGACATACATGTAGCCACAGATGTGGAAGTCCCTTTTGGTAATGGTCCAAGTTGCCAGCCTATGCCATCTGATTCAAGTTGTCCCAAAGTTAACCCCCATTCTTGAGTGTCACAAAACCCCTAGTTTTGTAGGGAAAATGAGGTGTTTTCCATTTAGATCAGGTTGGAACATTATAAAATTCCTTTTGTGTTTCATGTATGTAATTCTTCTAATCTAGGGTGCCATGGAGTTCCTACATCAACTGGATGTACCATTTTTCAAGGTTGGCTCAGGTGATACCAACAATTTTCCATTTTTGATACGCTCTGCTAAGAAAGGACGACCAATGGTTGTGTCATCAGGGATGCAGTCAATGGAAACCATGAGAAAGGTAGTCAATCAAAGAATGAGCCAAAGGGATGTGGGATCATCCAAGAAACCCTTTTGGCCATTTTGGACTTCACAGTTTGTCGTGTATATCATGTGGAAGCATGAAATACATGTATAATGTTGAGATCAAGACAAATATGTATTCTCTGCAAGACAGATTTGATTTAGGAATTTAGTCCTTTACTTTGTCTTCACTTTCTGATGAAGAATGTGTTTGTAATATCTTTGAAATAATGCTTGTGTACAGTTTGGAGTTTTATGCCACCATTTGGTTATTTACAACTCGCCTTGAAATTGAGTTACCTCTGCTCGTTGGAAATCATCCATTTCTCATTTGTTGTTATACAACAGGTGATGTGGGATGTTGCATCTGTCAAAAACTAATAAACAAGTTACAGATAGAAACAGGTGTCCGCACAGCAGAGATTGATTACGTCATAATTTACTTACTGAAATGGCATATGTCCCTTTAAAGCAATAATGCCTTTGGCTATGAATAGAATGGCTTCATGGACAAATTCCATGTCATTTGCATATTTTCAACAGGTGTATCAGACATTGAAAGCAGAGAATGCTACTTTCTGTATTCTCCAGTGCACTAGTGCGTATCCCTTGGAACCAGAAGATGTTCATTTAAGAGTAATTCAGGTATTTGTGCTTTCTTCCTCTTTTATTTTTTCAACACTAAAATCTAGTCCTATAAATTGAGAACGAAACATTATGAAACTTAATAGTTTTGAGGTAAAAGAAAAAGCAGCTTTCTTGGCATGTGTCATGACTGCCGTTGTAAACTCAATATTGTAGTATTATATTTAAACAATACATATTTTTTGCATATACATGTATAATTTATAAATCTTTGTGAATGTGTTCCTTTTTGAAACTGGTTTTCACAGTCCCGTCATTGTATGATGTGATTGGTTGTGTCTGCCTGGATATTGCAGGAGTATCAGAAGGAGTTTCCAGATATTCCTATTGGCTACTCTGGTCATGAGAGTGGAAAAATTATTACCTTAGGAGCTGTAGCATTGGGGGCAAAGGTCGTAGAGAGACACATTACTATGGATAAGACATGGACAGGCAGTGATCATAAAGCCTCCTTGGGTAAGAGAATCGTCATACTGTGCCAATCATCTATTAATACAATCCAATTAGATCCTTCCAAATCCACCAGATTTGTGCATTAGTGTACATTCCTTTAAAAATTGGTTACATTTCAATCCATTCCATTCACGGACCACACAGAAATATTATGAATCCATGCAGCAGAGTCCATCAGAACAAAAATACATGTACATCGGAATCAGGTAATCGGTTCCAAAGAAATTGTTTTATTTTCCCTGTATTTACCCCTTCCTTTTTGTCCTTTCCAGAACCAGATGAATTGAAGGAGCTCATTGCAGACATACGATTTCTTGAAAGAGCCCTCGGGTCAAGGGTCAAGGAAATGAGGAAGTGTGAATTAGCTTGCCACAATAAGGTAAATACATAACAAATTTAAGGGTCATTCTATAAATTAGGGATCCAATTTTTTGTGTGTGTCCTTGTCACATCTGACATGATTTTGTTATTCAGAACACATTCTCTAATTTCTGAGAGTGATGAATTAATGCAAATTACAATGTACCTGCCAAACAAAAAGAAATAGTTTGAAATAAATTTCATTTCCCATGTATAATGACACAGGTCAGGTGTAACACTGACACAAAAAAGTCACACTTTCGGACCCAAAATTTATAGAATTATCCTTAACCTTCCTGATATTGATGGCTGCTCAAACAAATGTACTGTCAGTTTACTTCCTGTGGTCACTCCGGTGGGAACTATAAGTTCCAGAACAGCCATGCACCATGTTGTCTTTAACAAGTATTTTGTCAATGAGCTTTAATATTGCATTGAGATGTTTCTCTTTTCACTTTTTAGCTTGGTAAGAGTGTCGTAGCTGCCAAACCAATCACCTCAGGCACTGTTCTTACTGAGGACATGTTGACTGTAAAGGTTGCCGAGCCAAAAGGGTACGCACCAGAGAATATCTACAATCTGATTGGACAGACACTGAAACGGGATGTCGAGTATGATGAGACAATCTGTGAAGATAATGTCACTGGATCGTAAATGGTGACCACCGGAGCATCACTCATTGTATCGTCAGACGGTTTTTTCATGATTCATGAAGGATTGTCAAGGTTGGTTTGTATCTCAAGGTACACAGCTGCTAGTCAATTTCCAAATACACGAGGGATATCTTCAGCAGATATCAATCTTCAGGATTATAGTTTGGCATAGTGGTCATTTTAATATTCCATTTTTCCAAAATAACGTAGTATCTGTTGTACATTTATCTACAAGGTTTATCCTTCAGTGAAAATTGTCAATTATAATGTGCGCTTGCACAGTTGAAATTACCAACCAGCTTACAGCTACAAATTCAGATGTTTTGTTTGTAATTACTTTGTTCCATTTCAGTGCCTTCAATGAGAATTTCTACTTTGTGGAAATGATTATTCTAGTTTTTGATGAAAGCACGATTTGACGCATGCTAGACAGAGAATTGAGCAATTGTGTAGGCATTTGTCTTTAAAGGTGCATGATGTGATCATTATGATTTATTATCACAGTCTTTCCATGCAGATCATGAAGAAAGATCAGACTTGGAATGAAAATTTGACTCGTTCAAACAGTTTGTGAAATATGATTTATATCAGGCTTCTTTGTACCTAAATCTTTGCATGGTTTAACATTATCTAGTTTGTGTGTGATATATAATCATATCACACACCCATCACAGTGTTGAAACCCTTCTGAATTCTGCACAAACCTAGTTGGAAATTCTAATACTGAATTAGCAAATTTTTTTCACATAATTTTTCTTGGATTAAATGGTCAGATAGATACTAATAATGGGTGGCCAGTTGCACTCATCTTTGATTTGTGCAATGTTGTTACAGCTCAGGTTGTATATTTTTGTATCCTCCTCTAAGCCATCCAGTAATATTTAGTGAGTTTGTCTGGCACATTTTTACAAGGACAAAACCTCGTTAATTTAAAGAGGTGACATTGAATTAAATGTACATGTTTAGCCGTCAAGCACAAATTGATCTATCATTTTAATGAAAAATCAAAGGTCAAAATTTTTGAAAACAATGCAAGGGGTAAGCCTTGCAAAATATGTAAATTTTGGCCAAAATTTGACTTTTCTTCAAATCATTTAGAAATCGTTTTCAAAAGAAAAGAAACATATTTCTATCATCTACGGAGCATTTAGATTGCAATTTCAATGAAAAGTCAAAAGTCAAAATTTTTAAAAAAACTGCAAGGGGTAAGCCTTACAAAATAAGTAAATTTTGGCCAAAATTTGACTTTTCTCAAAATTATTCAGAAATTATTTTCAAGGGAAAAGAAACATATTTCCATCATCTACGGGGCATTTAGATTGCAATTTTAATGAAAAGTCAAAATTTTTGAAAAAACTGCAAGGGGTAAGCCTTACAAAATAAGTAAATTTTGGCCAAAATTTGACTTTTCTCCAAATCATTTAGAAATCATTTTCGAGGGAAAAGAAACATATTTCCATCATCTACGGGGCATTTAGATTTCAATTTTAATGAAAAGTCAAAAGTCAAAATTTTTGAAAAAACTGCAAGGGGTAAGCCTTACAAAATAAGTAAATTTTGGCCAAAATTTGACTTTTCTCAAAATTATTTAGAAATCATTTTCAAGGGTAAAAAAACATATTTCCATCATCTGCTGACCATCTAGATTGCAATTTTAATGAAAAGTAAAAATTTTTTCCCATTTCAATATCATCATTTGGACCTAAAGTGAAAGAATTAATAAAAGTGGAAAAGGTTAAATCAAAGGTCAGAGATAATTACTTATATGAATGGAATGAACAACACATAAACAGGGATCATGCTGATTCACCCATGCTAAACCATATCTTCTGGTTTCAACTAGCATTTAAAGAAGAGAAAATTGTTCAAAAGATATTTTTCTTTAAGTTAAACTTTTTTATTAAGTTTAATTTCAAATGGAATAAGGAAAGGGCATGTCGAACTGAGGGGAATGAATTGATTAGAAGATGCATGTTCTTAAAAATAAAAAAGGGAGTGAAGACTTTTCAAAAGGTAGTTGAGCTGCTGTGTTTTAATTCAAAGTCAGTAACAAGTTACTAGTACAACTGTGTACAAATTAAAAATTACTCCCTGAGAATATATGTCTGTTTAAACTCAATTCTGAAGTGTGTTTTTGTGCAAGAATGCTAGGAAATACTGTGTTTTAAACTCAATTCTGAAGTGTGTTTTTGTGCAAGAATGCTAGTAAATACTGTTTTAAACTCAACTCTGAAGTGTGTTTTTGTGCAATACTACATAAACATGTACTTACTATGAAATAAAATTACATTTTTTTACTTCAAGAGGTCAGTGAGTTTGGTAAGCTCACTTGCGAAGTGAATTTAAACATTATAATTATACAGTATTTCTTGTGCTTCAAATTCATTGACAAAATAAATTCACATATCTTCTTATAAATAAATTAAACAGTTCCTCTACATAGTTACAGTTGAGTTTTAGTAAGACAATAAAAAATAGTTTGTCATATAAAAACATCAAAAGTACTCACATCATCATCAACAATAAGAAATGGTTGTGTAAATCAAAATATGAACACTGAAAACTGCCCATTAAGAATTGATGTTTTCAAAGCAAGACAAAACTAATTTTCTCATATTTTCATCCCAAAATTTTGTTGGGTTCATTCGTTTGAGTCGTTTAATAAGAAATTGAGCTTCAATAATTGGACAGGCAAATATGTTCAGTCTAGGGAATGAGCTTTTAGAAAGACCAACACAAATATGAAAACATTACATGTACAATACCATGGATATTCTACAACTCAAAAATATTTACCAACCTTTCTAAAAGTTAAGTACATGTACACCATTTTTTCACCAATATTTACATTTACAGCCAAAAAAACTTGCATGCAAACCTGAATTTCAAACATGCCTGTGTAATGGCAAGTAAATTAAATTTTTCCATGGGCTTGAAAGACAACTGAGTAAATGTATTTGATATTCATATTTTGGCTTGGCTGCGTAGAGTGACTTCAAGTGTCTGAAGTGGTCACTTAAATAACATACTTACTCTCTCCAAATTTAATTTGCTGCTGTCACTTCTACAAACCAAACCCTGTATCAAGAGACAGGATAAAATGGATTGCTGGAAGTCCTATGGTCAGCAACTTTAACTCAGACACTATACTTTGTTGGTGTCAAAATTAGTCTAGCAGATGTAGAAACACCTGTAACCTATACTTAAGTTGGATAAATTTTATTTCCACATCAAGAACTATGCCATCTAAGTCCTGCTGATGATACATTTTTACCTTCAGGATTGAATCTCAAAGTTAACCTTCGTTGTCAGTTCCTCCAATGAAGTTCTTCGTTTGAAGGAAGCCACAGGTTTCTCCTTGGGTCTAGAGACAGGCAGCCACTTATAGGAGAGGTCTTGACCAGCAGGAATGCTCCAGTCATAGTGGTCCACAAGATACTTGCAAACAGTCTGTGACAAGTAACATCAATAAACACAAATTCTACTTTCCAAATTTAGACATTCTGTCTTCTCAAAACCAGCGAAAGTAATATAAAACAGAAATGGCCAAAACACCTTAGGACTTATTTTCATGGCAAAGGCCATCTCTTGGTTTTGTAAACAGCCTATGTACCAGAAATGTTTAAAGACCTGGAATTCATTCAACCACCACCACCAGTGAGGTGCTTATTTCCCAATCCATTCATTTCAATGAATCAAAGTACACGTAGTAAACAAACCTCTATGCTGGTCTTCATGAGTGCAGTGCCAACACAGGACCGAGCTCCACCACCATATGTGAACAGAACACTTTTGTCTAGTCCCCTAAAACAAAGAAGACAAAGGAAAAAAAACGAAAAAGACACTAGTACAAACATAAGGCAAGCTGTGTTTCACCATTTTAAAGTTGCTCTTTAACTATTATCCTGTAAAGCATGGAACCATGCTGTCTAGTTGTGTATGTATGAGTTAATACCTCTCCGCCCATCGTTCTGGTCTGAACATCTCAGGATGAGAAAAGACAGTAGGATCCCTGTGAGCTGCATGGGTAATGTATACCACTGCATGACCCTTCGGAACTTTGTAGCCATCAATCACACAGTCCTACAAAATAAGTATTCACAGAGATTAAAATTCCATTAATTTCAAAACAGGTTGAGCTTGATTTGATCTATTAGTTAAGCCTACATTAACCACTACCTGCCGGGACTCCGAAATCGGA